TAAAGATATGATGGCCATCGCTAACCCCACTTTTGAAGATACCATGGCCGCTGAAACTGGATTCAATGACATTAATTTGTGGTTAGAATCGATGAGGTATAATGCCAACAAACATAATAAAACAGCATGTTATGTATGTGGCGGTGCCCGACCCCACCTTGGCACCGTCCCCCTAACTCTCCCTTTAGAGATAGAGGATTGCTTCTTAAGCCTTTTTGCCTACCAATATGACTTTAATAGGTCCCTCTGCATGGCATGGACGGCAGAATACCCTCTCTTAGTTGAAAATGTTAAGCCACCAGATGGAATCACAGTCTATAGAGGTAATTACACTTGTTATGCCATGTATGACGGGATTGGTAAATTCATGGGTAATTTTTCTAAAGGTTATTGTGCCACTTACAGAACTGTCCCCATACGTCTGTTGCAACATCACACCAGGTCACTAGGAGACATTTACTGGCTATGTGGGGACTTGCAGTTAAGATCCAGACTGGAGACTGACGGGTGGGGGGAGTGTACCTTGGCCAAGGTTATCATGCCCATCCATATTATTTCTGATAATCATCATGACACATACGACCCTCCACATACACCAGCCAGAGTGAGGCACGAAACCCCAGTAAAAGGCAGTTTTGACCACACATTTACATAGATGCCATTGGGGTACCTAGGGGGGTGCCTAATGAATTTAAAGCTAGAGATGAAGTAGCTGTAGGTTTTGAATCACTGTTCACTATAGTCACTGCCAACAAAAATTAATTGGATTAATTATATCTATTACAACCAACAGCGCTTCGTGAACTACACCAGGGATGCCCTCCAGGGCCTGGCCGAGCAGTTGCAGGCCACATCCCAGATGACCTTCCAGAACAGAATGGCCTTAGACATGATTCTAGCTGAAAAGGGGGGTGTATGTAAAATACTACCTGACACCATGACTTGTTGCACTTACATTCCAGAAAACACAGGTCCTAATGGTAAAATCACTCTGGCCATAGATAAATTAAATAGACTCTCAGAAGAGTTAAAGAGAAACTCTGGAGTTACTGATCCCTGGGAAAAATGGTTTGGTTGGATGACTGGTTGGCAGAGAGCTTTAGTCCAGATTGGTATTGCCTTACTAATTTTTCTTTTTATTCTCGCTCTTCTCATTTGTTGTGTCCTCCCATGCCTAAGGAAATTCCTGCAGAAAACTGTAGACCAAGCAACACCAACCTTCGCCCATCTAGAGATTGGTGACCAAGACCTCACATCACCCTGTATTCCGCTACAAACTCTCCCATATGCTGATGAAGTGCAGAAAGTCCAGTACAGGGACAGTACAGGGACAGCGTCCGTTTTTATGGGTAGACTGCCGTACGGAGAAGTAGTGGATAAGCCACTATGGGTTACCAGCCGAGTGAAGAGTGTTCCTGAACCGTACTGACGGATGTGCTGCAGCCTGTTAGGGTCAAGAGAGGGATAGACTTGCACTTTGCATTAACACTAAGTCAGCGGTCATGGGGTTTCTGTGTCTTTGGGCTAACACATCTTCTGATACTAACAAATTAGGTTTTGTCTTTTAGCAAATAACATTTTAAGGGGGGACTGTTGTAGAATTATTAGGCCTCTATAAGTCTGTAAGGCCCCTTTAAATCCTCTTGCTATACCTCTAAGAGGTCCCATAGTTTTACAAGAAAGCTTTGTCTATAGAACATAGAATTTGCATGTCAGCAAGAAATAGCTTTGATAAAATGTGTATTTACTAAAAGCCTTGAAACCTAACCTTGAGAAACTAACAGTGCCAGGCTACACTCTAAATCGATAGCTGCCAAAAGGCCCCTCCCGTCGAGTGAGCTCCTCATGTTAACAAAATGGCGCTAAAACCTGGAGGAGACAATCATGACGAGGATAGTGACCTAAGATGGTACACCCCATAGGGAGGGCATTTTACTAACTACTTAGCACCTAAGCCAATTAACAATGTCTATTTGTCTATATCTTGATTTTCTTCAATGATGTAATAATGCCTTTAAAAGGGCCTGCGAGCCTGCTTTTTATTCAGAAGCCATTAAACTTCTCCGAAGTTCTTTCATTAACCTGAACTCTGTGTCTCAGTGTGAATTTACTTCTGCGTGCACGCAACTTTATTATCTTTAATTTGGACAGGAACAGATAGTCATTCAAACTAATTGGTTTGCAGTAAATCATCTACTACACAGCAAACCTTAAAATATAGGGGCAGGTGTCTACATCCAGAGTTCAGGGACCCAGGATCTGGCTGCTATCCACAAATGCTCTGAAATAGTTTTTTTGAAAGTGGAAATAGGTAACTCAGTGTGGTTTAGCAGCATTTCCACAGGATAGGAGGACATCATGTCACCTGTGATGGAAGTAGTGGCCTCGTGTATCCGTTTCCAAAAAGGTACAATGAAAGGACATTCCAAAAATATATGCAGTATTGATCCGACCAAAATTAGGCACCTCCAACAGGAGGGCGATGGCTTAGGGTAGACCCTGTTGAAATTTTGAGCAGTGTTGCACCACTTTGTGAGATTTATTCTCCTGGTATTTGGAGCAAAGCAAGCCTCGATGTTTTGGTGTCAGGATTTTTGTAGGTTGTTCCCTGGAGGACATAAATTGAAGTGGGGCTCCTAGGGCAACTATTAAACACAACCTTGAGAAATGGTCACTGAGTAAAGGAAGTATGAAAGCAGTAAGCTGCTAAGTACCCTTGGATTAGTGGGGAACTAGACTTGTAAGGAAGAGTATGAGATATCCTTTATTGTTGTGGACCAGTAGGGCACACTAGTTCCCCAAATTTTGTTATATTTATCTATGGAACCCATAAATCTATGTGTCCTTTCTTCATACAAGCCAGAGCGAGACACAACAGATTTTAGTGTTTTAATGCTAAGTGAAAGTCCCCATTAGTCCATCTCCTCAGCCTGAGCAGCAATGGGTGGCAGTGATTGTCAGAGAGTGTCAGTTTATCACTTTCAGGCTATCACAGCCACCATTGCTGGTATGTATTGGAATAGTTAGAAGGAAAAGTGTAATCTCTGCTAGTAGCTGCTGGATTGTGGGTGGCCAGAGACTATGATTCATTGCTACACTGCTCAAAAATGTTATAACACTGAATGGAGGGACAGTGCAATGGAACTTGAGTTCAAACACTAAAAGCAATTTAGGCCCCGACTTAATATTGTTGGTTAAGTTTTTCAATTGATTTAATATTTTTTAATAAACCTTTAGAGTGATTTTTTTTTTAAATACTACAATATAAAAAAAAAATAAAAAAATTGGGGGCGGGGCCTGACAGCCGACCAAGACAGTCGCATGGTGCTGCAGCTCCTCAAAGAGACCAATTTATTTGGCTCCTTTTTCTGGCCTTGGGAAATACCCTGCTGACTACCTGACACCTTTGTACCGGAATCCGTTGGCCACATTTCTTGCTAGGCTTCCATGTGACCTGAGACCATAACCCTGGAGGGGGAGGCGGACGATCCTCAGCCTTTAAGTGACACCTGCTGACTCCGAGCCCTATTCCCCATCCCCCTTTGGACCGGGGGGAATATCTCGTTCTCCACTGGAATATCTATGTGGGCACCTTGACAAGATCCAACCCTACTGGCGTATCACTAGATCGAGGCCTAGTACTCAAGATGGCTACTGGGCCTTCCGTTATATGCACCTTCTCACAAATGCTTCTGCACACGGACCAGCTACTTCTGACTTTTGACTGCATTTGTGCAGAGTTCTGGGCAAAGTTCTATGCTCGGGAACTTACCATTACTCCTGCTAACCGAATCATAATGCCCCAGACCAGTGGTATTTACTTCATGACCTCGTTCGCGGTTTTACTTTTCAGTATCTCCTAGCCACGTTTACCTAGGTGGACAGGGTGTTTCTACTCCCTACAGAAGTTAGGCATGTTTTCATGTTGATGCTGATTATCTCTTGTTTTATTAACCTCCATGACTTTAACAAGCTGTCTGTCCTCCAGCCTTCATTTAACTTAGTACTTGGACATGATTAGTTTAATTCATGCTGTATAAATTGTAAAATGTGCAGGCCCCTTGACGTCATTTATTGCAATTGTTCTTGCTGCATTGGCTTTTATTTCATATGTCTCGTAATCCTTATATGTACAACTGTGCACAATAACAATAAAGAATAAAAAAAAACTAAATATTCTAAAAAAAAAAATCTAAATATTAAAATATTTTTCAGAAAATTAAATCATTCGAAAAGCCTATCCAAAGATATTACATTGAACCCTTAGTGAGATGAAATTATTGTAGTGCTTAGAGTTCCCCTTTAATGGTGGTATTTCTTTGTACCCACTTTTACAAACCTTCTCTTTGAAACCTAATGCCTTATAATTTATTTAGCAAATACAGGGTGCAGCAGAATCGATTAAGCATTTTTGAGGGGGTCAATGCTCGGGCTGTAGTGGGGGGAGGCAGGTACACCTAGTCTCATTGTGCTCCGTCCATCAACAACAACCAATATGTGATCGCAACGCAAAGAGCTTTACGGCAATGGTTCAACATGGTTCAACGCGCAATAACGCCGTTCCTAATGCAAACACAATTCGGTCATGGGTTAGGCCGTTGTAGGAAACTGGTACCACACTTAGAAGAGGTACACGTGGCCGACGCAGGTCCATAAGAACACCGGAAATGTGCAGCTGGTGAGAGCAGCAATTGAGGACATTTTGCTCGTGTTGCTTTGGGAATGTCACACTGCAGTCTGAGGAGGATTCTTCATTTAGATTTGCAGTTTCATCTCTACAAGATGATGTTGGCTCAAGAACTGAGTATAGCAGATTATGCCAAACTCAGAAATCTGTGTGAGCAAATGCTTGCACAGGTCCCGCCCGCAGCAGTTTTCTTCAGTAGCAACGAGGCACATTTTTATCTCAGTGGAGCTGTGAAAAAACAGAATTTCCGCTACTGGGCTCAAAATAACCCCCGAATGATTCATGAAAGACCGCTACATTCCCCATAACTGTAAGAAATATGAAATAGTTTCCTTGTTTATATGTATTTTATGCTTTTATAAGGTTTATAACATGATTATTGCTGACTGGAGGGATATTGAATACTTAAACGACATAATATGCTGACTGTGACAGACTAAGGTATTTCTTCTATAGGATGTAAGACAATGCTAAAATTTCAGGATGTCTTGCCCATTCCGATTTCAGGATATTATTTTCCAGACGTATGCAAAAAAGCTTATCTTCCCATTGTCAGAATAACATGTAATATATAAGGAAGTAATAAATCGTATAATCTGTATTGTATTGCATATCTCATGACTAAGGTAAACAAAACTGTATAAATGCTAGCTTCACAGTAATACAGATTGAGAACTTGTTAAGCACCTTCGTGTCTGTCTGTTATTTGCTAAGCAAGTCTCTCCCGTCAATTGATGTGGTGAACAGAGGATCGAGAACCGAGGGTTGAGTCCAGGACAGCATTAACCCTTTCAGCTTGGTGTCTAGAAGTGGGATAGAAGTTGGATCAGCAAAATCATTGGGTAAGTAGCCTTTTTGTGTCTTATTTGACGCTGATTGTCTATGACCCCTTTGGTTTAGTAAGACTGTATCCAGTACATAGGAAAGGTGTAAGGACTCTAGTTATATTGAGACTGTAAATAGGTCTCCGGTTTATTAGACATTTGGTCTAAGTATATATAGGGTTTTGGTAACCCAGGTTAGTATCTAAGATAGATACAGGGTATCTCAGGTAGATACAGGTTTTGAGACTATAAAGGAGTCTCCGGTTTATTAAGATTATAAGTGTTCTAGGGAACACGGTTTATAGATCTAGAATAACCCAAACTTCTCGTTTCTCTGGTCACCTTGTCTGTTTTGTGTTTATTTTGCTTGTTAAGTAGAGACACACTATTGGTAAGTAGGTAGTGTCTCTACCCTGAGCCAGAAATATGGGAAATAAACTGTCTATTTCTTACCCTTTACCTCACCCAGGGGAGTCATGTCTAAATTATGTTACTAGAGTTGGAGCACAAGGAGGATTTCTTACTATCCCCTTTGTGTCAAATGTAACAGGATGGACAGAGACTATGAAGTCATCTGATCCTTTTCCCAGGTGTGGGGCTAATGATGATTTCCATATGAATATGATTCGAGGATTGTGTTTGGGAGATAGGAAGTCATGGCCGTGGTATGGTCCTGATCCAGATTGGGATAAGGAATATATGAAAGCAGGAGGTGAAAATTGGTTGCAGATAGCCCCTCACTGGTTTCCTTGTAGTATAACAGGAAAGGTTTTAAAGGGAGCTAAGAAACACCTGGCTAAGAGAAAGGGAACTGTTGATAGTAATACCATTCACTTTCCCATAGGAGCCCCTCCTGAGAATCTATATTCATCACCAATTGTGCCCCCTACCCAGTCAGCCCCCGGCCATGCCCAACCACAACCCCCACCTCCCTATAAAGCAATGTATCCTGCTTTACCTAATGCCCCCTCAGAAGATGATATAGAGGATGTTTGTATTGCTGCAACTGTTAATTCAAAATCACAGCAATTACAGCAATTACAGGAATCATCATCTATACCAGATTCTGATATAGAATATCCACCGTCACCTCCCGGTCCAATTAAACTAACAGTACAGACGGGAATTAAACTTAAAAGTGGCAAGATGTTAAAAACATATGTACATAAACAAGATGATGATGATGTAGAGATGCCAGAATTAGAAGGTGCTGATCTTACTGCCCCATTCATGACTGTTGGTAATCAGTTAATAGTGAAACCTATTAATCCTGGAGTACTCAAGGACATTATTCAAGGTGCCCCAAACCCCCGTACTAATCCCTCTGCATGCCTAATGTATTTGAAAAGAATGTGCTTAGGACAGAACATGACACAGATAGATATACAGTTAATTATAAATGGAATATTAGGGTATGATTCAGATTCTGGTTGGGATTGGTCTAAGGTACCCTCTATTAGTGAGACAGACAATGGTACTGAAGTTGGAGAGGCTGGTAGTGATGGTGTTTATGAGCTTAGTACTTCAGCAGGATGTGCTAAAATGTGGAATGAGGTGGAAGTTGAAATGTTGAGATTATGGAAGAATAAGCAGTCTATATCCACTGCTTTGGCATGTAAGCAAGGTGCAAAGGAAGAGATTGGTATTTTTGTAAAAAGATTTTACAAATGTTGGAAGGATGAGGCAGGTTTGAAGTCTGGAGAGGATATGGATCTCCTTAAAATACAGTCATGCCTTGGTAATATGTTGCCACAGTATTCTTTGCTTGTGAAACAATTGATTTCAGACTGGGCCAATTTGGATGGCTCAGATTTTCTTACCAAGGTTATAGAAAAGGAAAATGCAGGTTGTTTTGACTTAAGGAAAGATTCAGGAAGTAAGGTTGCTTATTATGCTCAGGGATTGCAACATTGTCCACCTACACAGGCCCGAGAGAGAGGATGGGATGGAGCACATAGAGCCCGTGGAAGGGGTGGTCAAAGAGGTGCAAGGGGATGGAGACAGGGAAATCAGGGTTATAGGGGCAGGGGTAACCAAGGAGGAATAGACAGGAACACTTGTTTCAACTGTGGGCAGAATGGCCACTGGAGAAATGAGTGTCCACACCCCAGGAAACCCCAGCAGCCCCAACAACCCTACAATTCTCAAAATATGCCCGGTAGGCAAGAACAACACCAGGCCCACTCCCAACACCACTGGCCAGCACTCCCCCCTGCCCCCTCTCTCCAGCAAGCCCAAACTGCACTAGGGCCATTCACAGGTACCACTGACCAGCACACCCATCACATCCCATGGCCCCAATAGGGATGCCTTGAAGGTGACACTCTAACTTTTCCACTTTTGTCCTCTACTAATGATGATCAGCCTTTTTGCATTCTGGTCATAGAAGGTAGATCCTTGCCATTTTTGGTAGATACTGGAGCTACGTGTTCCAGTCTCTGTGATACCTATTATCAGGGGACAAGGAAAAAGTCTACACCTTCATTGGGTATTAATGGAGTGTCAACACCCACTTTTGTCACACCACCACTGTCTGTTTTCTGTCCTCTTAATGGTTCTTCTACTATGCACCCTTTTCGTATAATACCTAAATGTCCTGTTAATTTGCTGGGAAGGGATCTTCTTGGTATTCTGGGAGCTACCATTACTTGCACGCCCTCTGGTGGTATTGATGTGTCTATGTTGTGTTCTGAAACTATTGATTTGTCTGCTGTTCCTTCCTCTGTGTGGGCTTCATCTAAGTTAGATGTAGGATTTGTCAACTGCACCCCTTACAAAGCCAAACTAAAATCAGATGTAACTCCTATCTACCTTAAACAGTACCCTTTGACAGAAGCCAAGGTTGAGGGAGTTCGCCCCATGATCCAATCTTTTCTAGAACAGGGAATACTAAAGCCAGTAGTTTCTCCATATAACACACCTATTAATCCAGTTCCTAAAGGTAATGGTTATCGCTTAGTTCAGGACTTTAGAGCCCTGAATAATTTAATTGTGCCCATTGCACCCATTGTCCCTGATGTGACATCCCTCATTACAGCCATTCCACATGATGCCACTTGCTTCACTGTCATTGATTTAAGTAATGCATTTTTTTCTATACCTATTGATCAAGAGACACAGCTACTTATGGCTTTTACTTTTGAAGGCTGTCAGTATACCTGGACACGTTTACCCCAAGGCTATGTGGACTCCCCAGCTGTTTATTCGCTGGTACTCCAACATACTCTAAAAACATGGACCCCCGGTCATGGTTCCGTCCTTTTGCAATATGTTGATGATTTGTTGTTATGTAGCCCTAGCTATGAGGCAAGCACTGTGGATACTGTCAGTTTGCTCAGACACTTAGCAACTGTGGGTCACAAGGTTGCAAAACACAAAATGCAATTGTGTAAATCAAAGGTTGATTACTTAGGTTTTGTTCTGGCTTCAGGCACCAGACAATTGAGTCCAAAACGTATTGAGGTCATTCAGAGGATTCCTAAACCCACTACTCGGAAGGAGTTGCTCACCTTCCTCGGCATGATTAATTACTGCCGCCAATGGATCCCTGAATGCTCTCATTATGACTCAATCCTAAGGGAGGCTGTACGTTCTGACAGCCCTGAAAATGTCTGCTGGTCACCAGACATGTTAGCTGCGTATATAACCCTCAAAGTTGCTATTGTGCAAGCCCCGGCTTTAGGACTACCTGTGTATTGTAAACCATTTCATTTGTATGCTCGGGACAACTGTAAAACCATGGCCGCGGTCTGTGCACAAGAGCACGGAGGCGGTATGCGTCCCATAGCATTCTTTTCCAAAATATTTCCAGCTCCGGTACAGGGTATGCCGGCGTGTCTCAGAGCATTGGCAGCATGTGCAATGGCTGTTGAGACTGCTACTACTATCACACTAGGGCATCCTACAGTACTCCATACCAGTCACCAGGTCACTCAGCTGATAAAAAATATCACCACACAACACATGACAGCCCAGCGTTTAAGTGGTTATGAGATTATTCTTCTTAACACCCAGAATCTGTCTATTGTGTATAGTCCTGTTAATTCTGGTCCTATGTCTGTTTTGCATGCTATTCTTACTTCTGCATCTGACTCTGTGTCTATACCATCTGAGCCTCATAATTGCATTGAACAAATACATATTGCCACATCTCCCAGAGCAGACCTCTCCTCCACAGCACTCAGTGTCCCGGATGTGACCACTGTCTTTGTGGATGGCTCTTGCTCCAGACCAAATGACGGTACGTACCTCACAGGCTATGCTGTGGTACAGCTACCTGATAAAATCATTGAAGCTGACACTATTTTCCAGCCGTCTGCACAAGCTGCAGAACTCATTGCTCTCACACGTGCCTGTCAGCTTTTCTCAGGACAGCGAGTGAACATTTACACAGACTCACGATATGCTCATGGGGTAGTGCATGATTTTGGTGTGATCTGGAAACAAAGAGGTTTTGTAGGAGCCGATGGAAAAGCCATTTCACACACAAATCTCATCCAATCACTCCTAGATGCTATCCTACTACCATCTGAAGTAGCTATTATCCACTGCAAGGCACACACTCTTGGTAGTGATGACATTTCAAGAGGAAATGCCTTGGCTGACAAAGTAGCAAAAGAAGCTGCAGCCAAGATTGTTTACTTTAAAATGTTTCCTGCTATGCTTAAACCACCCACATGCCCTACTGACAGTTTGCTTTTGCAGCTTCAAGCCTTTGCAACGCAATCTGACTTGGATTTTTGGATTAAACAAGGTTTAGAAAAAGATCAGAATGATCTTTTCTCTAAAGAGGGGAAGATTGGCATACCTGAAGCAAGTTGTTTTATTTTCATCAGTCAGGCACATGGTCCTGGCCATAAAAGCATAGCAAGTACCATCCAATTCCTCATGAATTCATTTTATATTAGGAATCTCAGGCAGCATGTACAGTCTTTTGTAAGATCATGTGAACCATGTATGAGAACACATCCAAATATTCCACACAAATCACAGCATGAACAGCTGCTCCTTTTACACACTTACAGATTGATTTTACTCATGTACCCAAAATTGGTAAGAAACAGCAATACTTACTGGTCATAGTTGATCAGTTTAGTAGATGGCCCGAAGCCTTTGTGACATCCAGGGAAGATGCTAGGACTGTAGTGAAGATTCTTGCTACTGAAATTATTCCCAGGTATGGCTGCCCTCTGCAGATTAACTCTGATAATGGCCCGGCTTTTGCTAGTAAGGTTACCCAGGAACTTGCTAAATTCTTGCAAGTTACCTGGAAGTTTCATATACCCTATCATCCACAGAGTTCAGGGGTAGTTGAAAGGATGAATAGGACCATTAAGGAGAAGCTTATGAAAGCTACTGCAGGAACATGGGTAAATTGGACAAAATATCTTCCAGCTATTTTAGCTGAGATAAGAATGACTCCCCACAAGGTGACTAAATTATCTCCATTTGAGATTCTGATGGGACGACCTTTTCCCACACCCTGGGCCAGGGAACCGCTTGTTATAATGTCTGGGGATTTACAGCTAATACAAGAACAATATGTACAGGAATTGTTGATAAAACTGAATGGTATATATGGCAATGTTTCTTCGCAGTTTCCCTTACCTTCACAGGAACCTACTCATCCATACCAGCCCGGTGACAAGGTGTATATCCGTCAGCTGAACAGGACCAAGAAAGGAGGATACCCTTTTGGACCACCTGCTACTGTGATTGCTGTAACCAGAACCGCTGTCCTCACAGATTCCCACGACATCTGGATTCACGCATCCCGAGTGAAGCTGTGTCCAAAGAGGGGAGCCAAGGAAGACAACACCACTCCTCGCTCGGAAACAGAAGAAGTCCCCCTTAGCGAAGCATCATGGTTTTCACACCATATCGTAGATTGAGAGGATCATACGAATCTGAGACCAAGATTATGTTGTGTGCTATGTTTTCTGGAGTAGTTATACTCCCTTTGATATTGTTCCTTGAATGCCATTATGAATACGAGGCAATGGCAAGTTTGAAACCTGTTTGTTTCTGGAAAGAAGACTCTGACATGATGAACAATTCTTCAATACCCCCAGCCCAATTAGGCCTTAACCCCTCATCTAGCATTCGTCACACACGCTCCCTCAAGAACTTTTCTCCACCACCCTTTTATCAGCATGTAATATGCAATCATTCATTCACTGAACGCATTTGGATGAATTGGACAAATAATAACCCTTATAAGTATCAATTACTCATATGGAATGTGTCCACAGCTAATGAAACCGATGCATTATGTTTGTTTGAAGGTTCACGGAAAATTGTTAGATCTTATAACACAGAAATGTGCACAGTTAAGGTTGCTAATTACACTGGTATCTGTGCCACCTTATTTAATATAAGTTCTGATGGTAAGAGAAAACCACCTAAACAGGTTTGGGATATATATTATAAGAAAATTAGTAAGGTTGCATATCAATGTAAACAAACAGGCCTTATTACTTTTAATAATGATTATACAACTGGTACCATTAATTGAAAAAAGGGACAAATGTTAGTCATTATGAATGACACTGCAATTGAGAACTATACACTACCTTATATTTTTACACCTTATTACTGTCCTTTATCCTCTAACATAGAACCAAAAGTCAACAACGACACACACACACCTATTCCATCCACATGTGTTAATACAACTGTCTTCTTACAAGCTGTACATGTGTCATTAAAAATCACTACTCCTGTTGTAACATTATGTAACACAGCAAACAAAAGGCAGAAAAGGGAATGGTATGACACACTGTTAGGAGGTGCTGGAACCACTATGGGTATACTAAATAGTATAGACATGGAGACCCTCAAGAATAAGTTAAACACAGCCAGTATGCATATAGGGACTGGTTTTCATGCTACTGCAAACTGGGCTCCAACTGTTGTTAAATCACAGGTTACAGGATTGGATTTAGATAAATCAATGTATAATTATTTAGATAATTTAACTGTTGCAACTATGAAATTCACAACAGGTCTAAGTAATTGGAGTACTTGTGCCATCAGGTATTTATGGATGCAACACCAAAGATCGGCATTAGAAGACATACTAATGATTCCTAAATTAGAGAAGATTAGAGGAATGCTTAACCTCACAGATAATGAATGGTTACTTCTGAAACCCCAATCCACTAAATGCAATGAATGGTTAACTGGTACTGTATCACATTTTTCATGCTCATGTTATTTTACATTATATCATACAACATCAAAGGATGTTAAATTAGCTTGTCAATTTAACACATTACCAGTACCAGTTTATGATCTCTTTGCCAAGAATTTAACCTGGTGGGCACCCACATACACAGGGGACTATATTTTTCCCAAAGATAATATGACCTATTCCCTTAAACACTGTGTTCTCACTGACAAAGGATATGCATGTCGACACTCGTCCTCTATTTACGAACCATGTTTACTCCAAAATGAACTTAACAAATGTATATGGCACATATATCCTGAAAATTATTTTACCATGACAGAAATAAGCACACGACATATCTGTTTAGCAACTAATCTCCCTACAAAGATAATTACTAGCACTACAAGTATTAATCTACCTCTCCCTTTTTCAGGATGTTTGACTAATATTACCTGGTTAGATCTTAATGGCACCCAATATTATTTCAGCGACACAATTACTTTAGACAAACATGTTAATGCCCTATTAGGCTCGCTGCCTTTTGAAGATTACCATTTACCTCTTGAGACTATTGTCTCCTTAATGAAAGGAAAACAAAATATGTTTAAACATCTTGTTACACATAATGATGCTCTAGTACACACACAGGTAGCCACACATATCCTAAAAGGAGAACTCCTTAAGGTGAGTTCACAGATTCAGAATGATTTAGTCCATCATTGGTACGATGCTTTTACTGGTTGGTCTCCTACGGGATCCCAGATAATGAAATCATTCTTCTATCCTCTTGTTATTATAGTCCTGATTTTATTGTGTATGATTTTGTATAACTGCCATCTTACTTGTACACTGAGAAAGAGAATACAGAAATTAATCTATAATGCAGAACAGAAACAATTGGAAACTCTCCTCTCTGCCACTGGAGGCTATCAACCCATCTTTAAAACTGGGCCTTAGGAATTACCACATGGGAATCGAGGTGAAGAAATTAATGAAAGTCCCGCAGGGAGTGACTAGCACCCCTGAAAATACCATGTGGAAGTTTCTCTGTCCTGGTAAAATTTTATTGATAAGATGAGCAAATTAATTGCTCAAAGAGGGGGATGTAAGAAATATGAAATAGTTTCCTTGTTTATATGTATTTTATGCTTTTATAAGGTTTATAACATGATTATTGCTGACTGGAGGGATATTGAATACTTAAACGACATAATATGCTGACTGTGACAGACTAAGGTATTTCTTCTATAGGATGTAAGACAATGCTAAAATTTCAGGATGTCTTGCCCATTCCGATTTCAGGATATTATTTTCCAGACGTATGCAAAAAAGCTTATCTTCCCATTGTCAGAATAACATGTAATATATAAGGAAGTAATAAATCGTATAATCTGTATTGTATTGCATATCTCATGACTAAGGTAAACAAAACTGTATAAATGCTAGCTTCACAGTAATACAGATTGAGAACTTGTTAAGCACCTTCGTGTCTGTCTGTTATTTGCTAAGCAAGTCTCTCCCGTCAATTGATGTGGTGAACAGAGGATCGAGAACCGAGGGTTGAGTCCAGGACAGCATTAACCCTTTCAATAACTAACGGTGTGGTGCATCACAATTCGGAGTGATAGGCCTGTACTAGTGAAGGCGAGAACATTATGTCTCAATGTTGGAAAATTTTCTACAGCCCAGAATGGAAGAGATTGTTGAAGAAGAGGAATTAGGGGAGTTCTGGTTCCAACAGGATGGGGCTACAGCCCACACAGCCTGAAATACACTCAATGGTTTTCTTTTCTTTGGGGATATCTGAAGGAAAAAGTAATCAAACATTGCCCTCACACCCTACCAGAGCTTATGGAGCAGATTATTGAAGAAGTTAATGCCATACCCCGCGATATGTGTGAACGAGCTGTACAAAACTTCAGAGACCGTCTCCAACAGTGTGTTGCTGCTAATGGCAGCCTTCTCAAGGACATTATTTTCAAAACTTAATTTATATAAAATGGTATTTACTGCTGAATTCGAAAATAAAAACAGTTTTTCTCTATATACCTCAGTTAATTTTTTTATAACCCCTCAAAACTGCTTAATCGGTTCTGCTGCACCCTGTATTCTATCCTGCAAAAGTCTTTACTCCATACTCCCTTTGTCTTCTATGACTTTAAGACGCCATCTTACGTTGTGGTGCTGAGATCCAGTCTTCCATTCTTATCAAGATAATCATAGAGGTCGCCTCCGCTTAAATACTCCATGGCAAAGAAAAGGCGGTCCTGATTAAGAAGATGCAGCAGAATAAAGGTTAGACTATTTAGAGTATAGTTTCATTCTGTATGGCAGTAATGTGGTTGCTGGCTACACACCAGTGCTATGGAAATAATGATGATGATGATGATAATAAGAATAAGAATAATAGTAATAAAAATCAAACATACAAAGGTTCTAAATGTATTAAAAGGAACACTCCAAACACTTAAAGCATTTCACATTGCTGTTCATTTCTTACTTTATAAAAACATTGATTTCAAGAGAAATCTGTTCTTTTATAAAGCTACTAAGTTGCACCCTCCTGATTGCACTGTGCCTTAGGAAACAGCAGATGTGAGACTTTTCACAGAGAAACATTGAATTCAGTGCTTCTGTGTGAGAAGCATTGCCAAGGACCTGTACTTCTCTAGTGCTTCTCAATAGTGATCATCTACCCGAGGCAGAGCAGAGCTGCAGGGAGGAGATCACCTTGCCACTGGTTAGAGGTAAACTACTTTTACAGGTTCTGGAGGGAACAATATAGAACCTGTAATATATAATTATAAATAATGATAAAGGCCAGAGTAACTTCTGTTTCACAAACCTGTCTCTTCTAAAGGGCCAGACTCCACTCTCGCCTCCAGTTCTGCTACTTTCTCACCTTGTTGTCTGGTTGCTATACCCCTTGATACTCTTCCTATTGTGTTTTTATACCCAATGTCCTCTAGACTGTAAGCTCATTTGAGCAAGGCCCTCATCAACGTACTGTTCCTCTAACATTTTGTAATTGTCTCATTTATTGTTAAATTTCCTCATTTTATTATATTGTAAAGCACTGCAAAGTTGGCACTATATAAATGCCTACAATAATAATAATAATAATAATAATAATAATAATGTACGTCATGTTAATAGTAAAATCTGGCAATTTTATTGAAGACACAGAGGCTCCTATTATGCTATTTTAAAGCTGAGCAACCACCATACTGAAAATATGTTGCACCGGGCGAAAATAGAAATTACAAAACGTAGATTCATTCAACCAATCAGCCGCTTGTAGGATGTCTTCCAATCTACAACCCATCATTGTAGTACTAGAAGCCATAGCCCTACGAATGGAGTGGGAAAAAATCAAAGTGTCTATGCCTGCAATGGACAATAACCACTTGATCCAACGAGCTAAAGTAGGAGTTGATACTGGTACATGTGGCACTCGAAAGGAGATGAATAACTGATGGAGTTGATTTGAACGGAGCGAGATCGGACGTTGTTTGTATTCCATAAGACATAATACTGGTGTAAAGGTTTAGGTTGTCTGGAAACGACGGGTAAAAAAATCGCCTTAGTCGAGGATTTTGTCCTACGTGAAACATTCGGAACAAAAATGGGTGCTTGCCAGTCCAACTCTCTGACATCAGCAACATGTTTACATGAAAGTAAACAAAACAGCATCAACAGCTTCACCAATATTTGTTTAAGAGAAAGTTCGTGATTCAAGGGCCACCAGCCAAAAGACAGGAAAGATATTTCCTGTCTGATCCTTGTCTTCCCTCCCACAGCCACAAGAGTGCAGAGTGGCTGTATATCTGCAGAGCAGGCCAGCCACTCCCCCTTCCCTCCCGCTCGCAGTTCCAGAGAAGCGTTTGGCCTGCTTGAGCAGAGAAGAGCAGGGCTCAAACTGGAGGACGGGAAGCTCATCTTAAGGTAGGAGAAGAGGGGCTTGGGGGACTTTCCTGCGTAGTGTGATAAATTGGGGAGGGGAGACAGTGTATTAATTTCAGGGAGGGAGGGAGCACTGTGTTAATTTGGGGGAGGAAGGGGGCCAGTGTATTAAATTGGTGAGTGGGGGCAGTGTATTAATTTGGGGGAGGCAGTGGGGCAGTGTATTAGAGTGGTAGGAGGGGGGTTCAGTGTATTACATTGGTGATGGGGGGAGCAATGTATTAGAGTGGTGGGAGAGGGGTGGAGGAAGGGGGCAGTGTATTAAATTGGTGGAGGGAGGAGGCAGTGTATTAAATTGGGGAGGGAGGGCAGTGTGTTAAATTAGAGTGGTGGGAGTGGGTGCAGTGTATTAGATTGAGTCTGCATGGAGGCGCTGAACGCTCCTCAGGGAGATGCTGATTAGTTGCGCAGCTTTTTGCCCCACATGCACAATAGCCTCCCAATGCTTTCCTTTTGGAAAGCATTGGATTGGCTGAGATTATCAAGTTTGATGATCTCAGCCAAAGTGAAGAACACTCTCATAGGACTCAACAAGATAACGTCATTTGCTTTTTAAAGCTGTACAACAGCATACATTCACTATTTCAGTCCCATTACCAAACACTTTTTTAATATGTCAAGGTAGTTGGACTGAAACATTAGTTATATGCTAATGCACGTCTCCTTAAAATAAATTCGATCTTTTGTTTACTTTGAAGCCCTACAAGTGTGAGGACGTCCACTGTCAGTTCGGCAACATTTATTTATACAGAGAAAAAGAACAGTAGATGAGCCCTAGCAGGCCACA